CTGGAGCCAAGGCAGCGATGCAAAGCAACCCCAGCTAGATGATCCACCAGCTCAGCCCAACCTCCTACATCCCAAATCTTGGGAAATCCTACGGGACATCCTTTGCCGTATCCGTGGGAAGGTGGAGAAGCCCCTGGCTAGTGGACCTCAGCCTCTGATGGGCCAAAAAAACCCCAAAACATTAGACTGCGCTGTGGTTTCTTACTTTGCACTCCTGGGCGGCTTCTTCGATGGGAGCGACAGTGTGAGCACGGTGAGCGTGGGAGCGGTCGCACACCACGCAGATGGCCGTCCGGTCCTCCTGGCAGAAGAGCTTGAGCGGTTCCTGATGCTTCGGGCACAGGCTGCCCGCTGCGGCCGCGTACCCTGCCCTCGAGCTCAGCTTCTTGGCGATCTCCGCCAGGTTCCTCAGCTCACGGTTTGGTCTAAATTTTCTTTTCTGGGCAATTCCTCGGCACTGGGGGCAAGCGAACCTCCGGTCCGATTTTCCTGAGCATCGCGTGATGCAGTCCCGGCAGAAGCTGTGCCCGCAGTTGATGGACACTGGGTCGCTGAAATAATCCAGGCAGATGGAGCAAGATGCTTCTTTCTGCAGACTCTCCAGTGGGTCACACTCGGCCATGGCCGGAGAAGAATGACACGATTACTTTCGCTTCATTGAATTTTTTTTTTATCTTTCGGCAGCAGCTGGGAGTTTCCTTCTCGCTTAGCCTTTGCTATCTGAACTGGGAGGTCTTGTTTGAAAAGTGCAGCCTCGTAAAGGATGTAAAAGGAAGGAGGGGCGGAGAAAGGGGAATTTCAGGCTGTTTTCTGTGCGAAACGCAGTTTTGCAACACCCCTCTGAAACCTGAGTCACTCCAAAAGGCGTTTCAAGGTCTTCAAAAGTTTGCTGCTAAAGAGAGAAGAGGGAAAAGCAGTTCCTGGTCCTGACCCGTGGCCTCCGAGTCCCAAATAACGAGTTGACGGTGGGGAGCATTCGGCAGAAAGCACAGCTTATGGATGCCACCGCTCTCCCCTTCCCCCTCACCAGCATCTCTGTGCAGCCAAAACACAAAATTACAGGGAAAAAATCCCTTTCCTCCCTCTTTTTCCCAGCTGTTTTTGAGCCCAGCTGGAGGAAGAGCCCTGAGGCTGATCGGCAATACCCGAGCTGGATACTCCATATTGCAGAGCTCAGCATCCTCGCTGCTCATTTAGGAGGTGATCCCAGCCCGCAGGAGGGCAGGACGCTCCCACATAACCACCAGGACCGGGACTAAACCCGGTCTGAGAGATCTCCAGGTCAAACCCTGCCCAGGCTGAATCAGCGTGGTGTATATTTTAATTTTTGGCCAGGGCTGATTGGCCAAAGCAGGTTACAACCCTGCGATACATTCGTGCATCGTCATGTACCTCCTTCCTTCCTCCGTACGTGCTCAAGCCAGGGAGTTTCTGGTTTAATTGCAAATGAGTAATCAAAGCTTTGCTTTCTTCTCGGCCACCTCTGCAGCTGCAGCTCTGGCCGCGCAGGACGCCTGCAGCTCCCGAGCTGCAAGAAGTGACTCGATGGAGGAAATGAATCACGCAGCACCAAAAAAAATGAGAGAAGTGCTTCAGACGTCCTCGGTGAGATAAGTCAGGGCATGCTCGGGGGGTCACTGCGGTCGTTCCCGGCCCCGAGGTCAAGCACCCGGGATCGGACCCATCCTGAAAGGGTTTTGGTCGAGGTGCTCTTACAGGCACCTCTGGGCAATTTTCCACCCGGGAGAAAAGCTTTTCCCATGCCAAAAATACTCCTGCCTGTGTGCTCGGGCACGGGATCTGCGTTCCCTGGTAGCAGATAAATGCTCGTCTTGTGCCGTTGCCCACCGATGCAAGCGCTGATCCCAACCTTCAGCATCCTCCCTCGCGTCTCCGACCTGCGAATCCAGCAATCCCACCTCCTTCGGCCAAAGCTTTGGGGAAATATTCATTAACACCAGGCTTACGACAGGCTTACGCACGGCCCAGCCCTCAGCAAACCCACCCAGCTGGACGCCGGGTTTCGATGCTCAGCATTGAACTGTCAGCAAGTCCACGGTCCCCTCGTTTGCTGTACGAGAGTTTCAAAACCCCGGTCCATCTAGATTTAAAATCTCCATTTTTCTCCTCCCCGCGAGGGAAGGAACTCAATGCACCACAAAGCCGCGTCGGTTATTTTTTAGGTGATGAGCAGCTTAGCTATTTTTTTCCAGTACATTGCAGGAAATGAAGCCACGCTGGCCAGTCTCTCAGTTCACCGCTTTCTCCCTCCTTCCCCCTTTTTAAGACGAGCAAACTTGACCTTTTTTTCCAGCGGCTTCCCCACCGTCCTCCACCACTTCTGACATCGCCTCGGCCGCCTCCCTGACCCCGTGGCTCATTACCACTAATTCAAGATGATTTGAAAACCGCTAATTCAGCTGAGAAGACGCTGATCTCCTTTTCTATTCCGCTGCGGCCGGAATTTTGGTACCGTGGTGTGGTACCTGTGGTTATTATACACGGGACTGATCGGTACCTATGGGTGAGTTAGCTATAAGATCACAGCAAGCCCTTTTCATGAAGGCTAAAATAAAATAAAATGTCCTTTTCCATTTCTCGCAAGCGCGGTAACAATTCGGCTTCAGTTCAAGCTCCCTGGGGTCTCTCCAGGAGAGCAGGTTTTTGTTTCATCTGTGTCGCTGCTACGATGCTGCGGCTCTTGCTTTCCTTGCGCGTTGGCTTCGCGCATGGATGTGAGCTCTTCTCTAAATTATGAGTTTAAAGAAATGTATGTATACCTCCGCAAACCAGAGGGAAGATGAAGGGGAAAAAAAAAAGGGACAAATAAAAACAAGGAAATGGATGCAGAGGGAAAAAGTGGCGGTGAGGGGAACTGGCATTGCAGTCCTTTCTGCTTCGAAAAGGGAATAAGGAATGGGCTGTGATGGGGCTCCGATTCCCTGCGTGAGGCAAACTGGGTTTGGAAAACTTATAGCAAGGGAAAATTATGGAAAAACGGCAAGGATTAAAACTTATGTAAAGGGAAAATGATGGAAGAAGGGCTGTGATTAAAACATATAAAGGAAAAATGATGGAAGGAGGGCTGTGATTAAAGCACACATAAAGGAAAAATGGAAGAAGGGCTGTCATTAAAACATATATAAAAGAAAAATGATGGAAGAAGGGCTGTGATTAAAATTTATAAAGGAAAAACAGTGGAAGAAGGGCTGTGATTCTCATCACTGGTTCCAGATCTTTTCCCTCCTTCTGCAAACCCCCACCCTTTGCTTTTAATAAGAAGATGAGGAGCCGGGGCTCAGCCGCTTTCGCGGGTGGGTTTTGGGGCGACACACGCAGTTTTGTGCCCCGCGGGAAGAAAAAAAACTAAGCGCCCAACGTGGGGCTCGAACCCACGACCCTGAGATTAAGAGTCTCATGCTCTACCGACTGAGCTAGCCGGGCTGCGCGCCTTCCTCCCCCGCGGCCCGAACCGGCCCTGCGGCCCCCGGCAGCCCGGGGCGATCGTGGGGATTAACGGCATCGGGAACCGGTACCGGGAGCCCGCAGGGCCCCGGGGAAGAGCCGCTCCCCGCGGGGGGTGCAGCCGTGCGTTACCCGGCGGCTCTCGCCCAGCCCTGCTGCGGGCTGCGGGGCCAAGGCGTTTGTAAAAGCTAAAAGTGCTTGTGTGACGAACAGAAACATAAAAAAGGGGAGAAAAGGCAAAAACCTCAGTGTTTCTGCCCGGTTTCGAACCGGGGACCTTTCGCGTGTGAGGCGAACGTGATAACCACTACACTACAGAAACGCGGTAGGAGTGCTCCGCCTCCGCGGGGCTACGGCTGCGCAGCCGCTGCGGTGCGGCGGGC